AAAATTACATAAAAAAATATTATGAAAAATTATTTCTAAGTCATTTTCCTTCTTAATAACATGGCTAGTAGGTTCCATTTAAAACTAAACAAAAACTTAAAAAAAAAAAAAAGAGAAAAAAACCTTTTCTTTTCCTTGATAGTGAGTAAAAGGACAAATAAAGATTTTAATTTTACACTTTTTTCTAGTTAAAAATATTAATTTTATCAGTTTTTAAATAAAAAAAATTAAAAATTAATATTTTTATTTAAAAATTAATAAAATCAACATCATTAAATAAAAATACAAATGTGATATTCTTGTTTACATGTTTTCTCCTCCAATAGTCCTTATTCAACCTTAAATTTACAAAATATACCCTCATCCCCTTCTTCTTCAACTTCCATTGTGGTAAGAAATCCCCACTTTTTGATTGTTAATTTCGCATACCCATAAACAAATTTATACCGAATTGAAATTTTAGGACCTAAATCATGTACCAGAAACAACTAAACCATTTCTTATATCCATAAAAGTATAAGGGATGAATATAGTAAAGTACTCAGAAGTAGAATGGACAGATGCTAAGAGCCTGTTTGGTGTGGTTTGTGAGAGCTTTTGTTTTTCGAGTACTGTTATGAGTGATAAGTTTAAATTTTTATTGGAGGGAAAATAGAGTTTTAGTTTTTAGAAAGGTGAAAAAGTGAGTGAAAAGTAAATAAAAAAGGAGTTTATGAAAAGTTTGGATTTGAAACTTTTGAACTTTTACTGTTTAAGAGCTTTTTGAGGTTAAAAAAATATTTAAAAGTGTAAGTTTTTAAGAGAAAAATTTAAATTTATGAAACATGAATAGTATCCAAAAGCTAAAGCTCCTATGAGCTGATCCAAACAGGCCCTAAGTTTCTTAAAAAAGAAACACCTACTGAATCAGATTAAACTCACTTTTGAAGCAATGTAACAAATTTTATAGAAGAAACTCTTTAAATCTTTTGGTGGCAGTGGTATTATTTCTTTGAATCCCACCGGTAAGGCAATCTTGCGGCAAGAATTCAGTAAAACAAATAAAAAACAAGCATACAATTAGGTCGAGTTCAAAATAAATAAATAAATAAAAGATTCAAAACCTTGAAGAAAGCCAGATTGTTTTATTCAAAGTTGTCAAGAAAAATTTTACAGGTGTAGAATTTTGCAGAATGGACCAAAAGGCCCAGACCACACCATAGAACTGCACCGATTTACTACCTGGTTTGATCGAGAATGGTGCCATCTTCTATGTTAAGATGTGAACATAATTATATTTAGAATTATTGTAAATATTTTATACTTTAAAATATTCTCTTTGTATACTTTATACCTTAGAATATTCTCTTTGTAAACACCTATATATAGGTTATTGTACATACAGTATAATTCAAGAAAGCAACAAACCTTTCTTCAGATATTTCTCCTTTTTTTCTGTTTCTAACATGGTATCAGAGCTATAAGCTCTTGGTTCTTTTCTCTTATCATCGCTGTTGGGTTTTTGGAGTTGGATTTTCAATTCCATTCCAGATCTGAAACCTTGTCATTGGGATCTCTTCTCATATAGATTGGATTGTTTATCCTCGATTCTCAGACCCTTTCTGAGGTATTTTGTTGGTTTGTTATTTCGATCTTGACATCTATTTCTCCAGATTTTTAGAGTTTTTCAGTATTGTGAGTTTACTGATTCTATGACGAGTTTTGAAAGGATTGTAACTCATCCTGCTACTGCTACGGTTGCCAAAGAAGTGATAGAACAACCTAATGTCAACCTTGAATCCCTAAAATAGGTGATATTAAATCTTTTTAATGCTCCTACTGCCTTATCTATTGCTCCGGGTACCAAACCTTGGTATTTCTATTCTGGTTGTTGTAACCATATGTCTTCAATTACTGCTCATTTCTCTTCAATGTCACCTAATAATTCCTTTCTTGATATTTATTCTGCTGATGGTTCCCCTATGAATGTTAGTCACATTGGTAATGTTTCTACAAAGTCATTGACTTTACCAAATGCCCTTTTAGTTCCAAAACTTAGTTATAATCTTCTATCTATCGGTCAATTATGCGATCTTGGTCTTGAAGTAACATTTTCTGCTCATGGTTGTTGTA